AGTGTCACTTCACAGCTGTGTGTGCGAAAGGCTGCAAGAGATACGGTGGCTTTACATGACTCAGAAAAAGTGTGTGTTATAAACATCATTCTCCCGAGTGTAACTGAAGTGTGAATTAGGACAGAAAAGTTTAGCTTGAATAGAAAGTAATTTTACATACAGTAATTTTTTGTATTATTATTATTATAGCACGCATTAGTGGATGATTTTCTTTTTTTTTGGACATGGAGTAAAATCTGATGGCTGTGTTATTATCTGTAGCATCACAGTTCTGTTTTTCTGATATGGATCATGTCTTGTGCCACCAAGCTGGTTTTGGGAACCTGTAACGTTTGTTTTGTTCCCATTTTTTATTATTTCCTGTTTAATTTTGCAGATTGTGCTGTTAACGTTCACAAAAGCTGTAAGAGTCTCCTGCCTGAGTGTAGCAACAGTAAGAACAAGGTAAGATTTTTACACATGCTAATCGACCACGGGGATTAGAAACAATTTATTTTTCATTTAGCTTCGTTCTGAGCTGAAAGGATATTTTTGCGTTTCTGTTCCAGCGTTCCAAGCCTCCTTCTTTGGTTGGAAACTGGTTAGAATGAAATAAAAGAACAGTTAATGACGGTATTTACATGTGATAGCCTACTCTGCTTAGAGGAAGTCCAGGGTGTAAATAAAAGCAAACACTGCATTAAACCAGAAACGTGTGTTTAAGTTTAACATTTTCAGAGCATCATTCTAAAATAATGTTTTTCCTCTGGAACTATTTAGAGTGATCTTGTTCACATTTTCGATTACGTTCAATGAAAAATTTTATTGGTTTTTGTTTTTATTCCCTGTAATGTTTCTAATCCTCGATTGAGCGATCACTAGCCACGCCCACATGTGGTTACAGTTGCCGTGTATGTCAAGCTTGTGAAAAATGACAAACTATCATAAATGGATCAACGTAGGTCTTAATTAAGATTTTTTTTTTTTGACAGAGTAAAGATTTTGCCCAGAAGAGCCAAGCAGCTGCTCAGTCCAGTAATCAAGGTGAGTTTAAAAGCTGTTTTTGTCAGACTGGGTTTGTCATTTTGTTATAAAGCACTAATATGGAGATTGTTACTAGTGTGTTTTACAATAAAATAGGTCTAAATTTTCAAACAATATGAACCAACAGAGATGCTTGCTACTCTTGAATCTGATTGGTCAGAAGGTGTTGATTAATTTTCTGTAACAGCAGCTCTGACAGTAGTGCAGCTGCACATCACAGGTTTATTTATAATTAATGCACTTGTTCTAATACGTTATCGTTTCTATAGTAACAGCTCGGGGACTTGTACGGTGGGCGCGCCGCATTAACGGATTTAAAACTCTTTGATATGGTGCAGTTTTCTGTAAGGAGATGTTTGTTTAACATTTATGGAAGGGTAAAGCTGTAACTTTTTTAAGTTTTCGGACATCTTCAGGACAGAGGAGGTTACACTTTGCAGTAATGCTTTGCGCTGACTTTCCACAACATCAGCTGGAATTATAGACAGATAAAAAAAAAGTACAACATGTCTTTCTTTGGCAAATTGCTCTGTTATAAGAGGAATAAAACACCTCGGGACATGCGGTTATAGGTCAATCATCATTTTTGGGGTTGTAACAGTAATTCCGCTTCATCACACCAGCCCATCACTGATTATTTTACTATAACAGCATACACATCTCCATTCAACATTATACACAAATTACAGTTCTTTCATTTTAAATTGCCTAACATTTGCACTTATGAAGGTGAGTCAAATGAAACCTTAATGTTTTTATTTTGCATTGTTTTTTGCAAATAGGTGTGACAAAAGAGTAGCGTTTTTCTACATTTTCTTCAGTATTAAAGACTGTTTTTTTTCTTTCAGTTAGAATGAGTTTGCAGGATGGTCTTGCAATATTTGCAGGATGGTCTTCCTTATTTTCTCCATTTTTCACTCTTTGTGGCTGCACGTGGATGAATACGAGTTGCCTGGGTTTCAGTCCTCTCCTGTGAGCTGGAATCCCCTGACAGCAAATTAAAGCTGCTGCACTGTAGCAGGGAAGCTAATTAAAATGAAAATATGATTATGAAAATATGATTCTTAAACTGACATTCGGCATCTTCTAGAAAATTTGGTGCAACTCATGATACTTGTTGAATTCTTTCAGGGCTGTAGTTAGTGGAAAAATGTGATAATGATAGTATAATGCTATTAAATCAGTATATGAATCAAGGCCACGTGGACAAAATGCGTCCAGAAAAGTGCTAATAAAACGTTCATATTCACTCTGTTAGCATTTTTACCCAAACTCCACATTTGACCCTGTCTGTTATATCACTACACATTAGTTATGCTGCGTTCATATCCTCTTGGAAGAACTACGCCATCTTCGACCTCCATGCATTCGAGCTACAAAGTGGGGGGATAAACAGTGATGCCTCCATGTTAGCAACAAATTAGCCAGCTAACTGTGATGAATGATGATGAGGTTGAGGAGACCGTCCCAAGTTTCCGAGTTGAGGGGGTGTTTTCTTTGTTTTTGCCTAGTTGCTAGTTTTAGTTCAATGCAGCATCATTCCTCAGTATTCTCGATCACATAATAAACACTTCTCTGCTTGATGTAGGTGATTATATTCTTGCACAAAGTAAGGAATGACATGCTTTATAACTTCGAGGCCATTCGATTATAGGAAAGTAATCACAGACAGTTTAGTGTGTTGTGATTTTTTTCCTATAACTGCACATCCCAAAATGATTTTCCTCTTATATCACAGAAAATTGCCCAAGTGTTACATAGAAACAGTCGTTGGCTCAGCATACATCTGCATATTGCTAGATAGAGTGACATGCATGGGTGTGGCTGGGAAGCTGATTAAACCTCCCCAGAGATCTAATGAGATCAAATTATACCTTACCAGTTACTCTTAATCTCAGCATAAACCGTTCGCTCAACAACCTGTTGCATCGAAACCCCCTCCCGAACAGCAGAAGGAGAGAAGAGAGGCAAAAAGTGGGCTTGTCTTTCAGGCTTTGCTTGTCTCTTTATCAAGCACATCGATCCTGTGATTTTCCACTCTTGTCTATGGTTCTTCGTCCTCTGAGAAGGCGTGAGAGAGAAGATGGGCCTGGTTATGCGCAGGAAGCATAAAGCTCGGAGAAAGGTCGTGACTGCTTCGTTGGGGTTTCTCCTTCAGTGTCGCCACCTCAGCTGGCATCTCGGCAACTCGTGGCTCCTCCGTTTCTCCCATTCTTATTTGTCTCGTCTCTCCTCAGCCTCGAGGGAGCCGTGCCTCGCCTCCGATGGCGCCATCCGCACGGATACAGGCATGACCGTCCTGCCCCGAGGAGCCAGCAGGCAGCAAAACGCTCACAGCACCAACCACACGCTCAGCCACACCAGCAGCTCCAGGTCAGTGATGGCGATGGGATGAGGTGATAGTTAGACAGATAGAACTTGAATTCCTTTTGGACCTTTCGGCTCTGTTGTGTTTCAGCTCTATTACAGGGGAGATGGATGAAGTAGACACATTCAGAGCTAAACGCCACGCTGAGGACACCATCTCCATCACCCCGTCTACTGCCGAGTCCGTCATCGTGGAAGGTCAGGAATTGTTTTTTCTTTTTTTTATGTTTATGTATAAAATATGTTTGTTATATATTTTTATGTTATATATCCAGATGTTTCTCAACCTTTTTTAGGGAGTTTTCAATCAGTGTCACTTAGGATTTTGAAATGAAATTTGGATTTTTACCAATGTTGACTTGCTACAATAGGCTATAAACGGCTGTTTAGATTATGGGCATACATTGCAAAATATAACATGAATATTAAATTTTGGAATGTTTGTGGCTAGAAGCCATGACAGTCCTATGCAGAACGCCACTGTGCGCTGTCAGTGGCCGGGATAAAGGCTTTGATTAACATGACTGAATGTTGGAAACAGTGCCGCTGTGCTCTGTTGTAAAATTTGCTCAATAGGAGCTCTAAACTGAAGACTAAAAAAATTTCATAATAATATTTTTACAGTTTAATTTATTATTAAATATTTTATAATTCCAGTATATATGCATAGAACTACATTGTAAATAACATGTAGTAAAAAATCTCCTGTGGCTCTCTAAGGTAGAGAACCTATGTTATGAACTGTAAATGAATCTCAGCTGTGTGTGTGTGTGCGCGCGCAGATGCATACTACAACAACGTGCGAGTGGAGCTGGACTCAATGGCTCAGGACTTCGAGGTGGAGTCGTGGAGTTTGGCCGTGGATCAGCATTTCTTAAAGAAACATTCCAAAGAAGTGATTAAGAGACAGGATGTGATATACGGTAAGTGTGTGTGTGTGTGTTTGTGTGTGTGTGTTGTAGACACTGTTCCCTATCTCACCTACACACCCCACCTGCCACACCTCTCACACTGCTTAGTGCTGCACAGCCTCAGTGTGTGTTATCTCTTTCCAGCTGGAAGTGATGTCATGTTTGCTGTACCTGCTTGTGTGTAACAGTAAGTTTGTATTAAGGAAATGATGAACAATGTAGATAAAGTACTATGTAAATATCCTCTCTAACACATAATTTTGATTTTTGTTGTTGTTGTTCATTAGTAAACATTATGGTAAGCTCTGATTGGTCCATATTACACAGCAATCTGAAACAGTGAATAGCAGATTTAATATTGTGATTATATCCTGACCAATGTATTGGTTAGCCGATAAAATCCCCATATAGGACCTTTAGATGTTTAAACCACATTGTGATGTTATTTTAAACCACAAGCACACACACACACACAAACACACACTCTCCACTAGAGGGCAATAGTCACTTGAGAAAGAAAGGGATTTTGTGTCTGGGACTTTGCTTTATTAAAGTAAACACACACTATCAATCCCACAATGCACCACGATAGGTAGTGTATCCATTCCATGCCAAGAAATACCCATAATGCCATGCTTGCTTTGTTTTGATTCAGACTTCTTACAAATATAAAGAGCATATATAAGTGTTTTGTAAAGGTTCCTGGAGGACTAGTGGTTAGGCCTCGGCGCTCTCACCGCCGTGACCCGGGGTCGATTCCCGGCCAGGGAACCTACCCCAGCCACTGGGGTTACATATGACAGTGCACTCCCACTGCCGGTCTAAAGCCCGGATAAAATCAGGGAGGGTTGTGTCAGGAAGGGCATCCAGCGTAAAAACGGCGCCAAATCAAATATGCGGACCAATGATCCGCTCTGGCGACCAGCCGAAAGGAGAACAACAACATTTAAGTGTTTTGTAAAGTCATTTCTATAGTCACATGACCTTCATTGTCCTCAGGTTTGATACAGGATTAGCCTGTGTAATTTTCTGTAAAATTATCTGTGCAATGTTGAATAAAATTTGAATTTGTCATTAAATGTTGATCACAAATAATAGGGTTCTGTGTAGGGAATAGTGAGCAAGGGACCATTTACAAATAAGGGTGGGAGATATGACAAAAATATTGTATTACAATACTTGAAGAAATTTCTACAGTACATGATTATATAGTTTTGCTAACAAACAACCAGCAAAGCAGTTACTTTTTTAGAAAAACATAAAAAAAAGCTGAGTTTGCACATATAACAACACATATTTTTTACACAAATAAAACTCTGAAAAAAGGGAAAATAAAAATGCTGTACAAAATTTTAACATTTTACAGATTTAAATATTTAAATATGTAAAAATTGTAATATTCTTACAATTTTAAAGATTCAGAAATTTAAAAAACATTTTAAATTTTTTAAAAAGATTTGGTACAAAATCTTAGCATTTTGTAATTTTAAAGATTCAGTAAAAGAATAAACATTTTATATTTTTAAAGATTCTGTAATTTTTTTTTTTTTTAAAGCTATTTTAAAAAAATCAGGGCAATGTTTTCAAATTTTATAATGTTAAAGATTCAGTCATTTTTAACAGCATTTAAAATATTTTAATGATTCACCAAAAACAAATAATGTTACTATTTTAGATTCATGAATTTAAAAAACAAAACAACATTTCGGTACAAAATCCTAACATTTTACAATGTTGATTCAGTATAAAATTTCTTACAAATTTAAATTTTAACCATTAATTAGCTTATTCTGATCAGAGTTTGTAAATGTTGTAAAAATACTGATGACAGACACGATATTCCAGAAAAGTGTACTGTAACATAATTTATCATGATATAGATATTATACGATCATTATTATTATTATAATACGCCCTGTTTACAACACAGCGATACTTTGCATTTCTCTTGTTTAAGAGTTAATCTTTTTCTGAGTTCTTGTTATTATTTTCATATTGACTTTCTGTTATTTGAGTTTAGGTCATTTTAGGAAAGTCACATCAATCTACAAGTGTTTACTAGCCAATATTAATTCCATATGAATTGTTTGTTTTAGAGCTGATCCAGACAGAGATGCACCACGTGCGTACGCTGAAGATCATGCTGCTAGTGTACGTGCACGAGCTGCGTGAGACTCTGCAGCTGGACGAACGCAGACTGGACTGTTTATTCCCGCAGTTGGAAAGCCTACTAGAACTACACGGCCATTTCCTGTCCCGCCTCCGAGGGCGACGCCAGGACACGCTGGAGCCGGGAAGCGAACACAACTACATCATCCACAGCGTGGCAGATATCCTCAGTGACCAGGTATTTCTCTGAGTTTGCACAGGGTACAGTTATCATGACATTAAACATCATTTATATCACAGCGCTGTTGAATTCTAGATTCTGATTGGTCAGAAGTTGTTAAATGCTGTTTAAGCTGTTTAATAGTGTAGCTGCAAATCACAGGTTTATATTAACGTGCTCATACGTTATTGTTTTTATAGTAACAGCTTCTCACAGGTATGTCTGATGCTTCACATAAAGCATAAACGATATGGTGATGTTTTCTGTAAGGAGACGTTTATTGAACATTTATGGAAGGAGTCTCCAGTGTCAGCGCTTTGTAACAGTCAGAAGTAAAGCTGTAAATTTAAGAAAGAGAAAAAGAGAGGTTGGTGAGGTGACTGTTTATAGCTGTCACTGGTAATAACAGGAACTAACTTCTTCCAGTTAAGTTCTACAACATTAAATGTAACTATAAACGTATAAAAAGTACATATAATGTAATAAATAAAAAATTGTAATTGCCTGCAAATTGCTGTGGTATAAGAGGAATTTGGTGTGGTGAAAGTAACTCCGCTTCATCACACCATCTTGTTTTTGATTATTTTTCTATGACAGCATGACATGGAGTGCTTTATTTCTACCTTAACAGTAAAGAGACAGTGTTGAAATGATTGGCGAGAGGAAACTGCTATTGTTTAAAAAAAAAAAAGGGGAACGGGGGAGAAATTACCCCTTAGGATAAATGTAGTTGATCATTTTTCTGCTTTAATTTTGCACTGGAGTTACAAAGCTAATGTAGCTAGCAAGTTATGGAAGCATGTAGCTACCAGTTTAGCATCATTCTCCTAGATATGTACATAGTAAACCATAGATTGTACTTTTTGGACGCAGCTTTAGACAGTTGTTTTCCTCTCGTGCAGTTTTCAGGTGAACTCGGAGAGCGGATGAAGGAAAGCTACGGCGCGTTCTGCAGTCACCACACCGAAGCCGTCAACTACTACAAAGAGCAGCTGCAGAGCAACAAGAAATTTCAGAACCATATAAGGGTAGGAGGAGAAGATAGCATCCCTCTCTCCTTAGTTTTTTTTTAAACCCCAAAACACATTTATATTAACATAACTGACCACATCTGAAAAAATGAAAGACTGACAGTATTATAATTACATGTAAATTAGTTCACAATTAAATATTGAAAACATGAAAATATGTTTTTTAACCTTTTTTATGCAACGAAACCTCATAATTCTCATAATAATTTTCCTTGTTGTTTTTGAAGTAAGTAACTTACAACCCACCACACTGTTGTTGTTATTATTATTATTATTATTATTATTATTATTAAATTCCAAATTCATTAAAGTCTGGATTAATTCAACAATGTCTTGCTGTTCTGTACTTGTTTATTTATAGAAAATAAACAACTTGTCCATCGTGCGACGGCTCGGCATTCCTGAGTGCATCCTGCTCGTCACGCAGCGCATCACCAAATATCCCGTTCTCGTGGAGCGAATGCTGCAGTACACAGAAGGTCCGACCTGATTTAAAATTTACAGTTTGCTAATGTTTTTAAAAATAGAGTACATTGAGAATAATGAAGTGCATTTTGATAAACTTGAAATCCTTCTAGCAAAGTCATGTCATTCATCAGGTTTCTTCTGGTTTGCGTTGAGGGGAGATGTTAATGGAAGTGATATGTTGTAAGGTCATTAATGATATGCAAAGCTGACTCATTAGCATATTATATACATTTATTTCTTTAGTGGTAGTTTTAATGTAAAAAATAAAAGCTACACTGCTTACTGTACATTTAAAAAGATGAATTAATTACACAGAATTGGCTCAGTATTAATGAGTTGATTAATCGAAGACATCCCAATGTCTTCGATTCCTCTCATACCACAACAATTTGCCTAGATATTAGAGAATGACACATTATACTTTTATCCATTTACAGTTACATGTAATGTTATAAAACATCCATGAAACAAGTTAGTTCCTGTTCTCACTTATGTTACAGCAGCTATAAACAGTCATTCCCTCACCAGCCTCTCTTTTTAACTCTCTTGAAGTTAAGACCGGAAAAAAAAAAAAAATCAACGCAACTTGTGTGTTACTGAGAAATCACAAAACGTAAACTCCTTTGTCCTGAAATGCAATGATCTTTACAAAGTGCTGACACTGGACACTCGTTCTATAAATGTTAAACAGACATCTCAAGCCAAGTCAATCACCAGATCTTAACCCAATTGAGCAGCATTTCACCTCCTGAAGAGGAGACTGAAGGGAGAAACCCCCCAAAACAAACAACAGCTGAAAGAAGTTGTGGTACAAGCCAGGAAAAGTACCACAAAAGAAGAATTTAACAGTTTGGTGATGTCACTGCGTCGCCGGCTTGATGCAGTTATTGCAAGCAAGGGATATGCAACCAAATATTAAGTGTTATTTACTTTAATTTACTTTGAATATCTGTTCCTATACTTTTGCTCACCTAGAAATTGGGTGGTGTGACCAAAGGTGGCATGTTTTAAGTGTTTAACACATCTAGATTTAAATATCAGGAAATCAGTTGTTATAATGTTGTCCATGTTTTCTCCACAGCCGACTCTGAGGAACACACGGGGCTGGCACAAGCTCTGAGTCTGATTAAAAGTGCCATCATGCATGTGGATGCCCAGGTGAGTCTGTACGAGAAGGAGACACGCCTCAAAGAGATCGCCGCCAAGATGGAGCCTAAAGCATTCGGCAAGATTAAAGATGGCCGCATCTTCAGGAGGGAGGACGTGACGCAGGGCAGGAGGCTGCTGTATGAGGGCATGGTCAACTGGAAGGCCGCCTCCGGCAGACTCAAGGGTACGTCCATGAGTTCTAAAGCTGCACTCATATGAGCAGGTGACAGATAACTAGAGCGAGACTCTGTAATACATACAGTAGTAATTTTCCTTTAAGTCATTGGCATAAAATAAAGTTTTGTTACTGCTACTTACGTCTAAGGCTGCTTTCACACTTGACAATTTTTTGTTCTCAACCATCTTATTCTTCTCAACCATTTTGTTCTCATTTTTTGTTCTAGTGGACATTTTATCAATTTACACTTAATCCTATGGGAAGTGGTTCTCCGGTGTGGTTTTTTTTTTTTTTTTTTTTTTTTTTTTTTTTTTTTTTTTTTTTTTTTTTTTTTTTTTTTTTTTTTTTTTTTTTTTTTTTTTTTTTTTTTTTTTTTTTTTTTTTTTTTTTTTTTTTCTGTTTTCAGAAAAACTTTAACCACTTTTACCTCTTGTCCAATCAGGTTGCAAGCTGGGGGACTAGTGAGGAAAATGTCATGGTTGACAGTGTGCTGGTGAAACTTGTGTCTTGTTAGAGAGCAGATACAAGGAGATATCCAACATATTTTAAAATTATTTAATTGCCGATATTCCAGTGTTGCAATGTAACTAAAAATAACAGTAAGTCTATATTTGCG